CGATAAGAGATGATGCTTGTCGCGTGGGGAAAACTTTAATGACTAATCAAACATTGTCAACATTATGCACATTCCACCAAAATCGTTCACATAAGTATGTAATGATACGTGGCAGACGAATACTCCCTCAAAGATTTAAAACAACTGTGGGAAGAACTTAAAACTTTATTTTGTCCCATTACTCTGGCGATCAAATGTCATTCCAAAAACGAATTAATTGTTAAAAAAGACAAGTTCTTTCTTTAAAAATGAAACACTTGGTCATCTAATTTCTACAAAATTTCCAGAAAAAAAATTAAGTTATACATGTGTCTGAATGCTGAATAGCTCTAACATATCATCCTATAATGCGAAAACTTCAAATAGCTAATTACCACTAAGAAGATTATCACAACAGTTTACAACTAACGGTAATCTTTCTAAACCCTAGAATTATGATTACAACAAACAAAATATTCATAAACTAAGCACTTAACAGTGAATGCTACTGGAAACAAGTCAATAAAGAACAAAATAACATGCAACACCAACAATTAAACAACTACAAACACAAAAACAACCAAAAACCAAACGGGCTTTCCCTAAGTGATTAAAGGCATGAAATCTACATCAAAGGCCAACAATGTTATTCAACGAAAAACTAAAGTAAACAGTTAAGATAAGTTGGAGAATAAACCACAAAGAAAAGGAATGCGGGTTAGGCACGCGAGAATCACCGGCCGTGAGACGAAGCCGCTCTAACTCGTTCACCATGGGGGGATATGAGGGAATTAGGATTTTGGAGAGGGTTTCAAGGGGCAGCGTTGGAATTTGTTAGGTGGGTTTGGGTAACTGTAGGAACAGGAGTTGTGAGATCGGAGTCCGAACTGAAGTGTTTCTAATGAGCTGTGGTTGTTTCGAAAGGCTGCGAGAGAGAAGTACAGAGTGTTTGGGTTAGCTTTCTGTTCTTGTCTTGGATTACGGTACGGTGTTGAAAACGTGAGATATTTTGAGTTCCACTATTGCCCTTTGTGGAACGGATTTCGTCATGAATGACACGTCCGCTCAGGTCAGACGGAGACAGCAGAATCTAGCTAATGGTCGAAAAGTTTATCTCTGTAAACGACGTCGTTTTTTGTGTTAAATAATGAACACTTTTAAATTGTTCAAATAATCTCAAATTTTTGTAGTTATTTTATTTTTCTTTGTTTTAACTATTAATTTACGATTCCATTATTTTTATTTTATTAAATTTCATATTTTTTTCAACTTTGAACAGCTAAATTTGTTCATTTGTTTATTTAAAGCTCACAATTTATAAGATCCACTAGGATCTATTATTAGATAAATATCCTTTCCAAAACCCATAATAATTAATGTTCAAATGTACATTTTTTGATAAAGAAAAAGAAATAAAATTATAATTAATACAAAAAAAATTATCTAGCTAGTAAGGGTGAGTGGTTCTGGGTACTCTCTTTTTTCGGGAGAACCAGAATTGGAACCGCACAATACAGTTCCAAAAAAAAGAATTGGAACCGCAAGTGCTAATTCTTAAATTCAAGGAACCAGAACCTAAATGCAGGTTCGGTTCTTCCCCGGGTACTTTGTAAGAAATCAATTACCCCCATTAGTTTAAAAATAACAAAAATACCTTAAAAGTTTACAAATACACCCCTAGCAAATTTTGATTATCATTCATTTGTGTCAAATGTGACTCATAAATCCTCTAATCTCCAGGCAACACTTTTTTAGTCATTCATCAAAATTCACATAAAATTTCTCAATCAACCCCAAAACACAATTAATTAAACAATCATACAAATAATTATTTTTAATTTTTTAATTTAATTAATTAATTATTTATAATCATTTAATTAAGTATTGTACTAATGTTTATAATATATATTTATTAATTAGTAATATACTATAAATCCATATGTAATGTATAATTAATTAAATTTTTAATCATTTAATTAATAATGTACCAATGCAGTAAATTATTAATATTTATATATAATGTTATAAATTTATAATTAATTAAGTAATAATTTAACTATGTAATATTAAATTATTAAATGATTATAATATATGTAATATTATTATTAATTAAGTATCTTTAGTTTAATGTAATTGTTTAATAATTAATTTCTAACCATTTAATTAAGTATTGGACTAATGTTTATAATGGAAGGTTATAACTAATTAAGTAATCAATACATAAATTATAACGTAATGCTATAATTAATTAATTTCTATCATTTAATTAGGTATTGTGCTAATATAGTAAATTACTAATGTTTTATATAATGTCATAATTAATAAAGTATCATTTCATTTGTATGTTATTATTATTATTATCATACTATAATATAATGTTATAATGAATTAAGTATCATACTATAAATCTTTAATATAATAATAATAATTAAATTCTAATCATTTAATTAAATATTATACTCATATTTGTAATGGAATGGTATATTAATTAAGTAACCGATCATTTGTTTAAACGTAATGTTTAATTAATTAAGCAATCAAGTTATAATTAACTTAAATTTTAATCATTTAATTAAGTCTTATACTAATCTATTGAATTACTATGTTTATAATCTAAATCATAGTTGTTAAATATCTTTCATATATAATGTTTATAATTAATTATGTGATCATATATAATGTAATGTTATAATGAATTAGTAATCAATCACACATCTTTATGTATATTATAATTAATTAAATTTTTAATCGTTTAATTAAGTATTGTACTAATGTTTATAATGAATTATAATTGATTAATAATTATTTAACTAGTAATGTATTAATTTATCAATTTATTTTTTATCATTAATTAATTATTAATTTATTACAGTATTACTTATAACTTGATAATTGAAGTAAATAACTAAATGTTATATTATTAGTCAATCAATATACTATTCTATTAAAAAATAATTCTTTTACTAACATTAAAATACATTTACTAGTTTTAATTCCAATTATATCTATTAATCAAAAATTAATATTAATATTTATAATTATTAAAGTTTTGTATATGGTGAAGTTTATATGTAATAAGTATAATTGTATATTTATTTATTAGGTATAGTAAAAATTTAACTTTCCTCATTTTAATTTTTATATGTAAAATTACACAGACCCCTTATTCTTCATAGATATTTATTTCAGTCCAGGTTCTAAAACAAGGTATCCGTTGCAGTGTCAAGCAGGTACTCGTTGTAGGTTCTTTTTTCAGGTTCCGAATCATACAGTATTGATTAGGGCTGGCAAAAAAATCCGATATCCGATATCCCCATTCTAATCCGCTCCACTCCGCCCGGAAAATTCGGTCGGATACGAATCAGAATTTAGCAAAATCCGAATATGGATCGGATACCGGATCGGGATAATAAAAAATCGGATATCCGATCCGATCCGGATTTTTCAAACTACTACGTAGTTTTGGGTTTTCAAAATTAAATTCACACCCCCTAACACTGCTTTTCAAAATTAAATTCAACCCCTAACACTGCTAACACAGTAACGCACTAAGACACTAACACTAACATGTCTCCAACGAAAAAATACAACTCTCACAGTCTCACACTCTGACTCTCTGTCTCTGTGTCTCAGACTCGAACAACACGAAGTCACGAACCCTAAAGGCCTAAACAGTAACACCCAGCAATCCAGCATCTCTCTCGCTCTGACTCGAACACGATTCGTACACGACACGCTGTCTCGCACTCCTCGCTCACGCACAGTCGTCAATCGTCATCGTCAATCGCAGTATCGCACAGCCTCTCAGTCTCTCACACAGCCGTCATCGTCAGTCGCACACCTCTCAGTCTCTCACGGTCGTCATCGTCACTCGCATCGCACAGCCTCTCAGTCTCTCACAGTCGTCATCGTCATTCGCACACGGCACAGCCCTCAGTCTCTCAAACCAGATCGCGTCTGTACTCTGTCGTCTCAATCCTCACACTTTCACCAGATCTCATCTCAATCGATGTGTATGTTTGAAAACCTTGAAAGTATATGGGATTAGAAGTTTGATGATGTGAGGAGTATGTATTGAATGGTATACTGAGGAGGTTGATGGATCTCCCCGGAATGAATTATAATTAGTAGATGGTTGTTGGCAGACTTGGATACTAGTTGCAATGTTGAAGGATTATGTTCATGCATTTCCAAGATTTAGTTCCATTCGAACCCATATTTGATATTTGTTTAATTCTTTTGTTAAATGGGAATTTCAACAACTTGAAGAGTAATTCATACCTTATTTTCAAACCGTACTACAGTGAATTATTGTTGTTATTTTTCATTGTTTGACATATATTTTCCTTTTGTGCAGTGATGAATTGGAGCACCTTCACCTTGGTCTTTTTAGTTTCTACGTGGGTGGCAACTGGCATTTGGCAAGGGAAAAGACTTGATGGTCCCTTGAGCAACTGAATTCGAGTGATTGGACTCAAACAACTGGATTTCTCTTGCTGTCTTTATAGTTATAGTTCTTTTAATTGCTTATACTTATAGTTTATAGTTTATGTTTGTAGTTCATTGAACAGTTTCGGATAAATTTTAATTGCTGTCTTTATAGTTTATAGTTCAATGAAATGAAGGATTGTATTATTGGTTTTAATTTTAATAAGAAATATTAAAATTCGGATAAAATTTGGATATCCGATTATCCGATCCGAATATCGGATATCCGGATAACCGGATATCCACATAATTCGGATCGGATTCAGATCAACAAATAGCTTGATCCGAAAATTCGGATCGGATCAAAAAATGCCCTATTCGGATCGGATATCGGATTTGCACAGCCCTAGTATTGATTCAAAAAAAAAAAAAAACTGGAACCTATCCGCACAATATCAGTTCTGGGTAGTTCCGACTCCGGTTCCAGTTCTAAACCCGCTACCCATATTCCCCCTACTAAGCCTAGAAATGCCACTTCACAATATATGCTTGGTTCTTATACAACACAAATGCATAGCCTATGCAGTAAGACACAATAACTGAATATTGTTCATTCCATAAACAGATTATATAGTCAAACATTAACAAACGTATTTATAGCGGCTGTCTAAAGAAGGCAATGCGGGTAATACCAGAATGGATGTCACTACCAATTTCCTTCTCTACTTTCTCAATAGAGCTAATAGCATTCCTACATTTGTTCAATACAACGTCTTCATCAATCTGGCCACCATAGACAACTTGATAACCTGAGACTATTTTGTCCACTGTATTTCCAATAGGCTGCTTCTGCTTAAAAGAAAGAAGATGAGAGATGGTATTAACTTATAATTCTAAACCAAATATATATATATATATATATATATATATAAAAGAAGACATGGATTACCAATTTCATGCCCTGATGCTTCCCATTTCTGTTGTAATTTTCCAGGTGCCTTCCCACAAGCTCTTCCTTCAGAATTTGCCCTCGAGAACCAAAAACTTTCCTCTCCTCCCAAATATTAATCTGCACATATAGATGGAAGAAACATAAACCGTCATGCTAATGTCCAACATAACCAATCGAAGGAATTGACTCTGATACCAAGCTAGTAAAAACCATATGCATATAAGTGCCATGCAAGCATATGAAAGACCAAAGATGGCAAGACAATTGCATTTGTCCTAGCAGTTCTTTTAGCAAACTAAGTTTAATATAAGATTAATGGACCATGATCTAACTGTTTAACATGAAGATTCCCCCAGAATATCAATGAATGAATATTTGCAGCCCGCACTCTCCTTCTCCCAGGTCACATCAGTGTGTAATTTCAGCGGTACTATGACGGTGATTTCCACAAAAGGGGGGAAAAAATCAAGAAGCATCTAAAATAATAGGTTAACCAATGCAGCAAAACACACACAAACAGAAAAACATAAAACAACAGGCGCAAACCTGTTTCTCTCTACCAGAATATTATCAATGTCGTCTTTATGTTTGTTCTAAAATATTTAGTGTATGAGGACTGCTTAAAGAGATTGACGTTTAGTTAGAGATTTGAAGGCAAGAGTCTGAGGAATTTATTCTTATGAGAATGAACCTGGTTCATGCCACTGCTTTCAAATATTTGGGGTCCTTTCAGGAATTCCTTGATATTTTGAAGTTTAGGTAACAGTCTCCAAATCCATATCCTTTTCCTTTATTTTTTTAGTATGTCTCTTGTATACCACAAACTGGTAGTTGGTGATATTCCAGATAGAATGGAAGAGACCATGAAAGTTGGTTTAATGCTCTTTTCCTTAGTCTTCCCACTAACCCATTAAGTATGAGGGAAATCCCTAAAACTTTCCAAATACATACTTGCAAGGATTCATAAGGATACAAAAAGTCACTTCCATTCAGATCCTCGAAGCTTTGCTTCCCAAATACATAAACTATCATCTTTTTGGATCTAGGTTTCCTTCTAACAGAAATATTAGATATTTCAAAGATATTTATCAACATGAAAACAGGATATAAGACTCATAGCAAAATACATCAAATTTGACTAAATAAGTAGAAAATGCAATGTTAAGATGAATATACCAGCCGTCGTGCAGCATTTCTTCCAAACTCGTCTCCATTATCCATCACATCACGAAGAGCATCTGGAAGAACCTTCCAAAATTCACCAACAAACTCAGAACCTTTTCTTCTACTATTCTGCAAGATGTCATTTGCAAGATACAGAAAAGCCAATCTCTGCTCACGTGGAGAGCAATGAAATCGTCTGTCCCATGTTTCTACAACTTGCTTGGCCTTATTCATATGAAAAATACACCAATGCGATAAAGCTGAATCACGTTAAGGATAGAAACAATCAATTGGTTATAAAAATTATTGAAGAAAAAAAAAATACATAGAAAACTTATGTTCAACTTAATGTTTACATTGGTGGCTTGTCTTAAAAAATATACTGGGAAAGAAAAAGGTACTGAAGCAGCTAAATGAGAATCCAGTGAAAACAGTCTTCAAACTGAAAGCAAAGCAATTAAATTTTGATTTTGAAAAAGTTAGGAAAAAAAAATATCAGACTTAACAAAAGAAGAAATTTGAGAGTGGATTAAGAAAACAAACTAAGATAATTATACATTTAAAGACCCTAACAAGATGTAATGTGGCTACACCTGAATTTATAACAAATCAAACTCTAAAAACATAATGCTGATCCCACTATACACAAAAAAGCAGACAGCCTGATTGTCCCAAAAATATACGAACACAAATAACAGGATAAAGGAAAACCATCCATAGTCCAAATCAAGAGGATACTCTCTATGCTCGTCTGTGAGTTGTTAAGCTTGGCTAGCTTTTCCACTAAAATCTGAGGATTAAATGTACTTCCCATGTTCTTGATAGTGTAATATCAAATTAATGGAGCAAAAACCGATCTTTAGAAGTGAACAAACCTTCAAAAGAGAAGATAAATGCAAGGAAAAAATAAGTACCTTTAGAAGATGAACAAGTACAATTATGTTAATATGAAAGTATCCTCATAATTCCACAGTGATAAGATAAGAACTTCACATTTTCCATTATAAGAAAGGAACTTAAGTGTCAACATTAAGGTAATGAAAATTCATAACACAAAATTTAGCATTAAGGATTGTCAATGTTCAACAAATTCAACAATCACCACACTAATAACAATATGCTCACTATAGATGTTCAAATAATTATGAGGCACTTCTACTGAGAAATCATTTGTCACATATAAAACATTTGAAAAGTGAGAAGCACTTCGGAAGACACTGAGTGTTAATCAATATATATGCTAGGTTAAAACATACATCACCTAAATACTTAAAAGGCAAAATGTATCCTATCATCAACCAAAAAGTGAAATGCCACATAGGAAACTAAATTACTCAGCAAGGTAACGTTCATTTAACCTATCTAGGCCTCCTTTTGATTTAAGCAATTTAATATGAGGATAAAATAAAACTTCAAGCCTTTATAACTACGGCAACTGGAAAACCACAAGTTAAAAGTGTTGTCCTTGGCCAAGATAAAGAATCTAAGTTAAATGAGTTTAACAATGAGAATGAGAATGATTATAAAGAAGGGTCTGACACTTGTCCTTTTCCAAAAAAGAGTCTCCCGCGATAAGAGATGATGCTTGTCGCGTTGGGAAAACTTTAATGACTAAATCAAAACATGTGTCAACATTATGCACATTCAACACAAAATCGTTCACATAAGTATGTGAATTGATACGTGGCAGACGAGATAATCCCTCAAAGATTTAAAACAACTGTGGGAAGAACTTAAAACTTTATTTTGTCCACCATTACTCTGGCGATCAAATGTCAGTCCAAAACGAATTAATTGTTAAAAAAGACAAGTTCTTTCTTTAAAAATGAAACACTTGGTCATCTAATTTCTCAAAATTTCCAGCTAAAAATTAAGTTATACATGTGTCCGAATACTGAATAGTTCTTAACATATCATCTTAATAATGCGAAAACTTCAAATAGCTAATTAACCATCTAAGAAGATTATCACAACAGTTACAACTAACGGTAATCTTTTTCTAAACCCTAGAAATTATGATTACAACAAACAAAATATTCATAAAACTAAGCACTTAACAGTGAATGCTACTGGAAAACAAGTCATAAAGAAACAAAATAACATGCAACACCAACAATTAAACAACTACAAACACAAAAACAACCAAAAAACCAAAACGGGCTTTCCCTAAGTGAATTAAGAGCATGAAATCTACATCAAAGGCCAAACAATGTTATTCAACGAAAAAACTAAAGTAAACAGTTAAGATAAGTTGGAGAATAAACCAACAAAGAAAAGGAATGCGGGTTAGGCACGCGAGAATCACCGGCCGGTGAGACGAAGCCGCTCTAACTCGTTCACCATGGGGGAGGATATGGAGGGAATTAGGGATTTTTGGAGAGGGTTTCAAGGGGCAGCGTTGGAATTTGTTAGGTGGAGTTTGGGTAACTGTAGGAACAGGAGTTGTGAGAATCGGAGTCCGAAATGAAGTGTTTCTAATGAGTTTGTGTTGTGTTCGAAAGGCAGGCGAGAGAGAAGAGAGAAGTACAGAGTTGTTTGGGTTAGCTTTCTGTTCTTGTCTTGGATTACGGTACGGTGTTGAGAACGTGAGATATTTTGAGTTCCACTATTGCCCTTTGTGTAACGGATTTCGTCATGAATGACACGTCCGCTCAGGTCAGACGGAGACAGACAGAATCTAGCTAATGGTCGAAAAGTTTATCTCTGTAAACGACGTCGTTTTTGTGTTAAATAATGAACACCTTTTAAATTGTTCAAATAATCTCAAATTTTTGTAGTTATTTTATTTTTCTTTGTTTTAACTAATTAATTTACGATTCCAATTATTTTTATTTTATTAAATTTTCATATTTTTTTCAATCTTTGACAGCTAAAATTGTTCATTTGTTTATTTAAAGCTCACAAAGTTATAAGATCAACATAGGATCTATTATTAGATAAATATCCTGTCCAAACCCATAATAATTAATGTTCAAATGTACATTTTTTGATAAAGAAAAAGAAATAGAAATTATAAATTAATAACAAAAAAAATTATTCTAGCTAGTAAGGGTGAGTGGTTCTGGGTACTCTACATTTTTCGGGAGAACCAGAATTGGAACCGCACAATACAAGTTCCAAAAAAAAAGAATTGGAACCGCAAAGTGCTAATTCTTAAATTCAAGGAACCAGAACCTAAAATGCAGGTTCCGGTTCTTTTCCCGGGTACTTTGTAAGAAATCAATTACCCCCTATTAGTTTAAAAAATAACAAAAATACCTTAAAAGTTTACAAATACACCCCTAGCAAATTTTGATTACTCATTCATTTGTGTCAAATGTGACTCATAAATCCTCTAATCTCCAGGCAACACTTGAATTTAGTCAATTCATCAAAATTCACATAAAATTTCTCAATCAAAACCCAAATACAAACAATTAATTAAACAATCATACTATAAATCTATTATTTAATATTATAATTAATTAAATTTATAATCATTTAATTAAGTATTGTACTAATGTTTATAATATAATATTATAATTAATTAAGTAATTATACTATAAATCCATAATGTAATGTTATAATTAATTAAATTTTTAATCATTTAATTAAGTAATGTACCAATGCAGTAAATTATTAATATTTATAATATAATGTTATAAATTTATAATTAATTAAGTAATAATTTAACTATGTAATATTATAATTAATTAAATGATTATAATATAATGTAATATTATTATTAATTAAGTAATCATTTAGTTATAATGTAATGTTTTAATTAATTAAATTTCTAACCATTTAATTAAGTATTGGACTAATGTTTATAATGGAATGTTATAACTAATTAAGTAATCATACTATAAATTTATAACGTAATGCTATAATTAATTAAATTTCTAATCATTTAATTAGGTATGGTGTAAATAGTAAATTACTAATGTTTATAATATAATGTCTAATTAATAAAGTAATCCTTTCATTATGTAATGTTAATTAATTATATATCATACTATATATATGTTATAAGAATTAAGTAATCATACTATAAATCTTTAATATAAATAATAATAATTAAATTTCTAATCATTTAATTAATATTATACTCATATTGTAATGGAATGTATAATTAATTAAGTAATCGATCATTGTTTATAACGTAATGTTATAATTAATTAAGCAATCAAATGTTATAATAATTAATTTTTAATCATTTAATTAAGTATTATACAATATAGGAATTACTAATGTTTATAATATAATATCATAGTTAGTTAAAAATCATTTCATTATAAATGTTATAATTAATTATGTGATCATATTATAATGAATGTTATAATGAATTAAGTAATCATACTACAAATCTTAATGTAATATTATAATTAATTAATTTTTAATCGTTTAATTAAGTATTGTACTAATGTTTATAATAGAATATATAATGATTAAGAATTATTTAACTAGTAATGTATTATATTATCAATTTATTTTATCATTAATTAATTATTAATTTATTACAGATATACTTATAACTTGATAATTGAAGTAAATAACTAATGTTATATATTAGTCAATCAAATATACTATTCTATTAAAAAAATAATCTTTAATAACATTAAATACATTTAACTAGTTTTATTCCAATTATATACTTAATTAATCAAAAATTTAATATAATATTTATATATATTAAAGTTTGTATATGGTGAAGTTTATATGTAATAAGTATAATTGTATATTTATTTAATTAGGTTATAGTAAAAATTTAACTTTTCTCATTTTAATATTTTTATATGTAAAATTACAACAGACCCCTTATTCTTCATAGATATTTATTTCAGTCCAGGTTCTAAAAACAGGTATCCGTTGCAGGTGTCAAGCAGGGTACTCGTTGTAGGTTCTTTTTTCAGGTTCCGAATCATACAGTATTGATTAGGGCTGTGCAAAAAAATCGATATCCGATATCCAATTCTAATCGCTCCACTCCGCTCCGGAAAATTCGGATCGGATACGAATCAGAATTTAGCAAAATCCGAATATTCGGATCGGATACCGGATCGGGATAATAAAAAAATCGGATATCCGTATCCGATCCGGATTTTGCTAAACTACGTAGTTTTGGGTTTTCAAAATTAAATTCACCCCTAACACTGCTTTTCAAAATTAAATTCAACCCCTAACACTGCTAACACAGTAACGCACTAAGACAATACACTAACAGATGTCTCCAACGAAAAATACAACTCTCACAGTCTCTACTACTCTGACTCTCGTCTCGGGTCTCAGACATCGAACAACACGAAGTCACGAAACCTAAGGCCTAAACAGTAAACACCCAGCAATCCAGCATCTCTCTCGCTCGACTCGAACACGATTCGTTCACGAACACGCTGTCTCGCACTCTCGCTCACGCACAGTCGTCAATCGTCATCGTCAATCGCAGTATCGCACAGCCTCTCAGTCTCTCACAGCCGTCACGTCAGTCGCACAGCCTCTAGTCTTCACGGTCGTCATCGTCACCGTCAGTCGCACAGCCTCTCAGTCTCTCAGTCGTCATCGTCAGTCGCACACGGCACAGCCTCTCAGTCTCTCAAACCAGATCGCGTCTGTACTCTGTCGTCTCAATCTCTACACTTTCACCAGATCTCATCTCAATCGTTGTATGTTTGAAAAAACTTGAAGTATATGGGATTAGAAGTTTGATGATGTGAGAGGAGTATGTATTGAATGGTATACTGAGGAGGTTGAGGATCTCCCCGGAATGGAATTGATTTATAATTAGTAGATGGTGTTGGCAGACTTGGATAATAGTTGCAATGTGAAGGATTATGTTATGCATTTCCAAGAATTTTAGTTCCATTCGTAACCCATATTTGTATTTGTTTAATTCTTTGTTAAATGGGAATTTCAACAAACTTGGAAGAGTAATTCACCTTATTTTCAAACCGTACTACAGTGAATTATTGTTGTTATTTTCATTGTTTGACATAATATTTTTCCTTTTGTGCAGTGATGAATTGGAGCACCTACCTTGGTCTTTTTAGTTTCTAAGTGGGGTGGCAACTGGCATTTGGCAAGGGACAAGACTTGAGGTCTTGGCCTGAGAATAATTCGAGATTGGACTCAAACAACTGGATTTTCTCTTGCTGTCTTTATAGTTATAGTTCATTTTAATTGCTTTACTTTATAGTTTATAGTTTATGTTTGTAGTTCATGAACAGTTTCGGATAAAATTTAAATTGCTGTCTTTATAGTTTATAGTTCAATGAAATGAAGGATTGTATTATTTGGTTTTAAATTTTAATAAGAAAATATTAAAATTCGGATAAAATTTGGATATCGATTATCCGATCCGAATAATCGGATATCCGGATAAACGGATATCCAATAATTCGGGTCGGATTCGGATCAACAAAAGCTTGATCCGAAAATTCGGATCGGATCAAAAAATGCCCTATCGGATCGGATATCCGGATTTGCACAGCCCTAGTATGATTCAAAAAAAAAAAAAAAACTGGAACCTATCGCACAATATCAGTTCTGGGTAGGTTCCGACTCCGGTCCAGTTTACCGTACCCATATTCACCCCTACTCGCTAGATTGTGTATAAAATACTTTTGCGTCTTATTTAGTAATTTTATTAAGAATAAAAGTATAATAAGAAGAAAATAATAATTAAGGTCAACTCAGATAAAAGGTAGAGGGCAATAGCATCGCTTTTTAATATTCGGTATATAAGTTCTTTTTATTATTTTCTAATAATTTAGAATACTTCTCATAATCTTTAAGTAGATTAACTGATTTTACAACTGTAAATGAATAAACTCATTAGGTTATTATTAAGGTATTTTTGTAGTTGAGTTAAAAAAATCATCTTATAGCCTACTTTTAAATGTAGTTTTTTTTAATTAAATAAATACAGTAATTACTTTTTAACCCATTCTTTAATTTCAGCAGCCTCGTCACGTTGTAGAATTGCATGTACCTATTAATTAATTAATTACATTAAAGAAAAGAAGCTAAGCAAAATGACACAGCGAGTTACTTACTAACAAATTAGAATCATCATCATCATCATCATCATGTTGTTCATTTCATAAATTAAAATGCAAGAACAAATAAAACAAAAACAAATACAAGTAAACAATTTCAAAAAATGGCTAGCTACTTTCTCCAAGTCAATTTGAATCGACTCCCATGAAGTACTGCAATTAGATACCAAAAACAAAAATATATTTTCTAATCCAGTTAAGCTTCTTGCTTCTACACATGATGCAATGACCATATTGCAGCTTCGCGGATCACCAATTCTCTGTGGCTTCAAAAATAGAAATAGTTCTCTTCTTCCCCATCATCATTTCTAGGGCTTGTAGTTTTGTTTTGTGTTTAGGGCTTGTGCATGCATATATATAAATAAATAAATATGGTAAAATTATGGTTTCCTCTTCCCATCAAACAACTCCTCAATGTAAGTCTCTATATCTTCAGGCTGGAACTTGATATATTTCTCCGATTGCCTTCCTGGATCC